AAGTTACAAGACCCTAAGGTGCTAACCCTTTAGAAAAAAAAAACCAGCGGTGTTCAAACTTGACAGCTTTAAGACTTTAAGGTTTAGATAGGACTCTTAGAGGTGGGCGGGGTGATTGGTGAGCCAGCCAATCAGTGAGTGGTGGGCGGGGCAAACGTAGTGTGGACGGGCAGGGGAAGGGAGCTGGAACTGGTTCTAAATGGCATGGTAGATTTGTGGAACCTCTTCTACAGAAGAGGTTAGAACTGGCAGGAACCCACCCCTGTATATATGCCACCATCTGCTATCATGTTTCTCCAAAAATAAGACAGGATCTTATTTTCTTTTGACTCCCTACCCCAAAAAACTATTATTTTCAGGGAGGGCTTATTATTTTTGAGATGCAGGAGGCGGTGAGTGTGGTCACCTCATGGCTGCTGCTGCATTGCAATATTTATAGGGACAGCTTATTTTCAGGGGAAGGCTTATTTTAGTGCATGTGCTCAAAAGCCCGATTGGGCTTATTATACAGGGAGGTCTTGTTTTCAGGGAAACAGGGTACTAATGTCCCTCTGGATTATACAGGAGATAAATGGGGGGAAATATTTCTTTAAAAATATAATGTTGACAAACCTGACCACAAGACTCAAAACAAAGACAAATGTCAGAGTTTTTCCATATTCCTGGGGTATTTGATTTTTATTTTATTTTTAGAAATTGATTTTTTGAGTGTGGGGGAGGGGTGGGACTTCAATCTTACCAATGAGTGAGAAATTGCTGAAGTCATATATAGTATTTTTTCATGCAATCTCAATGAACTCAACAGGTTTTTAATATATTATTATCGTTAATTGATAACGTATGTGTAATCTAGCTCACATGTAACCTACACCTGCATTCGCCTTCCTTCCAAAATTTAAATTTTACATCAGTCTGGTTATTCTGTGCTTCTGATGAAGAGAGCTGCAGCTCGTGAAAGCATGGGCCTTTTAATTATCAGAAAAGGTGCTATCAGACCCCTTCTGATTCTGAGATGGATGCATCTAGATTGATAGGTCTACTCAGCATGGGTACCCAAGGCTGCCATTTGTGAAAGAAGTCTAACTCTTCACTACTATTGATTAATTTAACAGTGAATCACTTTCATAATCCAAAGTGGTTTCATGATGCAAAATAACTGAACAATGTAAACTTATGGGTGTATTTTTTTTTAAATTGTCATCTTCTGATTTCATATCCATTTTTGACATACAATTTATTTAAATGCAAAGTGATAAAACACTCTGGTGTTGTCTACATTTTCAATACATCCAATTATAATACTTGCTCTGAGGCCGTCTACATATTATATATTCGCATTTTTTTTAACAAAGTAGTTTCCTTATGTGAACTAAGGAGCTCTAGCAGATGTGGGCTACAAATATCCTGCAGATTATGGGATGGTAGCAGAGAGTTAGATTGTTCTGTGTCTTTTCCCTGCCTCCTTGAAGTCATCTGATTTTTATAATCTAGATCAAGTGTTCCAGGATTTTTAAATAAAAAAAGTTTCTTCTTGTGTAATATTGTATTCCAAAATAAGAGGTGGAGAGGAGCTGGGGCAAGTAACGGGAGCTCAGCCTGTCTTGCAGTTCTCTGGTCTCAAACCCAGCTGTCACATTTCCGGTCTGGAGCAGCATGTGGCTCTTTCATCCCTCTGCTGCGGCTTCCTGTCGCTCAAAATATGCATCACAACTGCCAATGTGTGATACTTGCTGGCAGGTGATTTATTGAGCCTTTTGACCCCCGGTAGGCCAACTATAGATAAATCCAAGAAAATAAAAGTTTCAGAAGAAAAGAGAAGGTTTAATTCAACTACAGGTGTTAGTTCTATGGCCACTCAGGAAATAGTCAGGCACGGGAAAGGCTCCCAGTGTGTCCCAATCAGTGGTGGGTTTCAAAAAAAATTTCGAACCTACTCTATGGGTGTGGCCTCCTTTGTGGGAGTGGCTTGCCAGCCATGTGACCTCTCTCTCTCTCTCTCTCTCTCTCTCTCTCTCTCTCTCTCTCTCTCTCT